TGCATTTACTAGTACTAGTGATTATGCAGATTTAAATACGTGTCCGATCCAATGTGCAACTTGTAATTTTCGAGTATTAATGTATATACACATGTCTTGTACCTTTAATTGAAAAGATTTTTAAAATTCCAATCGAAAACTTTTTGAATGGTTTTGAATCTGCACTTTTGGAATAAATTTGAGGTTATTCGGAAAGGCTGATGGTAAAAGTTTTGGTTCTATTTTAGTTCATGCCCTTTAGCCTAAAAAGTCTGAACTTTTAGGACCTGACCATCCTCTCCCGTGTCATGTCACCACTGGCCTGGTTTTGATTTGTGGAAAAAGGGAATCGTGCCCAAGAAATGAAACAGGGTCCGGATGTTCCCTCACAAAAATGTGGTGCGACCCTGTTTCCTGTAGAAATGCTGAGACAGCTCCAAGATTAATAGTGGAAAAGTAATTTGTCACACGGAGAAATAAAGAATGGACAAAATCGCAAAAACTTAAAACATTAAGCCCAACGTCGAGCATGATACAAATCTTTAAAATCTTTAAATCCTTGCTTGCTTAGAAAACCATTTCGTTCCCGTTGGCTTTAGCCCGACTACAGAGAAAAGGTTGGTTGCCAAACGTCTGGACATGAGCGAGAAAAAAAGTTTATAGAAAAATCCTTGTTTTTTTCAAAGAGAAAGTTTTGAACTTGAGTTTGTGGAGATTAAATAAAATGGGAAGGAAATACGTAATGCGAATGTGTACTTTTTACGTAAACTTTTCCAAGAAAAATATTCATACAATTAAAACTTACTTTGTATTCCCAGGCTAATTTTCAAAATAACTTGTAAATAAATAATTTCGGATGCAGCCAATGCGATAAGAATATAAGAACTTATCGGTAACAAGTAATAATCATGAGATAGAAATAACTTGATTTGCCACTAATCTAATAATAATATGGATGCGAGAACATATAAAAACAATTCAGTGTGCGATTGCATTTCCGGAATTGATAATTCAAATTTAAAGTTTTTCGAAATACGTGCTTATAATGAGATAATTGTATGCATAAGAAAAAGTTTTTGCTTCTTTGAGCAGCGATTTATTAGAAACTTTTTGCTCACGGATTTGCTTAAATATTTCCTCGATTGCATTTTCTACAAACTGATAACTGTAACTGGGATCCGATGGCAGTCGTGTGTACGCAAAGGAGACATGGTGGTAAACCCAGTGCATTTCTTTCCTGTGGTTACAAATAAGAGGAAGGAAAGCAATAAAACTTTTGCTTATCTTTCTCGCCTCCTGTCGTAGAGTGAGATTGAACCCTCTTCGAATCTCTCTGAGATATTTCAAACTCTGCTCCAAATCTACAACTTGAGACATTTTTTGAAGCATTTGCAATCCCAATCACAATAGAAATCGTGTCTTCTCAGTCACAGATAGTCGGTTACAAATGGGATATATCTCATCTTTAAAATTTTATCGGGCACTTTGCCTCCTCGAGAACAGCCAACATGCACAACCTCATCGACTCGATCCTCTCTCCAACAAACTCTGAACTGCTCCATGGATGGAAACCTCAATTGTATATTCCGTTCGTAATACAAGAAGATGTGTGGAAGAAAAATTGCTAGTTTCCTAAAAACTTGAGATTTCAAGGAGTTGCTGTCGTTATCTGGTTACAATCTTAACAACTCTCCCACTACCAAAGCCATTCTTACATATGTGGCAGCAGGCCTCGTCTTCTGTCTGCTGCAGATAGCAAATAACAGTTGCAGTTCCTCTCCTCGCTCTGCATATCGCCTGTCGCCTACTTGTGAAAATGGATTTCTAAAAAAAGTTCCCAAAGCGCTTTACATGTTGTTGAACTCTGATAATATCGTGTTATGCATACGTTCCCTTAATAAAGTGGGCGATGTTCTGCCCATACGACGTATTTATTTAGTTCGATCACGCGGTATTTGCCCGCTCCATTTGAGATTTATTACAAATTACAATTACAAATTGCACTCGCCTTAAAATCTTTGGGACGTCTTTAGTCGTAGTTGCTCATACAAATCACCCGACACGCCAAGAACCGCAGCTATCGTTGTATCGTATCATTTCCTAATTAGAATCCTAAGATTCCTGGCCAAGGAGCAACTAATCTCGGGCTCTTGTGGTTGATTGCATTTCACGGAGTTGTAAACAAGAGGAGGAGGGTTGGCTCCATTTGGAAATTTTGAGGAACACTGCCAGCACATCCACCACCGATTGAACGGTCCCTTTGTGCATGGCATTCTTGCTCTCCTTCTTATCGAGGACATTGAGCGAATGGAGGGAAACCAAGTTTGGTCGCCGTGTTTCTTTAAATTTTGTCATGTCTGGCGTGAAGGAGAATGCAATTTAGTAAATGAAGTCAAATCAACTATAAAATAGTGATGTTGATGCCAACGAGGTCTCAATTATTTTCACAGACACACACACGACAACAATCACGTGTGTCTGGATACATACGGACATATCGTCTCGCGTCTGGAGCAGAGTTTTTTTTGCAGGACGACGAACGGGGACAGAGTTGGGCAGGTCTAGCAAGTGAATTTGTTGAGATAATCAGCTTTCTCCTGCGGAAACCAGACTTATCTCTCGCTCGCTCTTGTTTCTGTTTGCTCATGTTTTGTTATGGAGAAGAAGTAAAAGTAATAAAAGAGAGGAAGCAGTAATCTTTTTCCACTCTGGAATCTCTGTAGAGTAAGACATGTGAAAAACAAAGTGCGGGCTATAAAAACACTTAATGCTCCTCCAATAATTACGCCCATAAAACATCGGTTTATCTTCCATTTGTATCATTTAAATGTTTATTTCAATTGAAGTTCAACCACCGACGCCGCAATTCCGGATAAAAGGATAGACCTTCAAATGAAATTAGGTAGTTTGCCATCTCATTCCTGAAATTTACTGGCCTCTTAACCATCCCCGGAGCCGATGTGAGAGAGCAAAATCTCCGTACTTTTTCCCCACACAAGTAGGACGGCTGTTTGGCTAACGATGGTCGCATCATGTCAGGTAAACTAGACACAAACTTTTACTTTTCGCAATATCCTACCGAATAAAGAACTGCCTTCGAGCCACCATAATCATTCCTCCTTAAATTCATACATTCCGCAAATGGATGAGACTAATGATGGGAAAGTCATTCATTGAGCAGTATATTCACATTTTTGAGCTGAGACGTGTACAAATTCTGCCATATAGCGAAAGTAATATCGACCCGCAAACCCCACATGTCTGGTTGACTTGATTGGACGGCCTTGATAAATGTGCGCCTGTATTTTCCTCCAAAAAAGATGTAACAGATTGGGTGTCGCCTTCACCCCGTGAACAAATACAAGTTATCGAGTGTCAGATCCTCGGACACGGAAGCGTTCATCAGATCGAATGTGGCCATGAGGTGACATAAGTGCTGCGTTAAGGTAACATATAGCCCCCAAATAGGCACGAATGGCTTAACCGCTACCGTCTTCTGGGCAGAACTTTAGATAAATTCTATATAGAACGTGTCTTGGTGATGCTGCTGGTCTCGGGAAACATTGACCATTCTGCTGCTTGCTACTTGTAAAATAAATAAAAATAAGAGTTTGAGGATTCATTCCCTTTCTCGGAATCAATCAGCCGCCATCATTCACCCGTTTTTCTTGCCAAAGTGAAAGACCTTCCAACTAAACGCGTACTCACCTCGTCCGCACTAATCTCACCACCACCGCACTGAAAAGACGAGTGGAATGAATGAATTGGCGAAATTCGACTACTTTTATCGAACTTTGTCTTCCCCATTTTCTACATGAGCCAATCTAATCTAATCTTTTAACGCTGTCTAAAAACCCCTGCCAACCAACGGTCGAGATCCACCAACCCTGTTTCCCTACCAGTTCTCCGCCATACGCACAATTTTCTATGTGGATGCCGTTGAATTAAATTAGAACCCTTTTAACCCGGGATGATGTCATCCACCCCGTTTTTAGAGGTGTTAGTAGGTCAATAAATCGGAGGGATTTGCGAAAGCACGTCAATAAAGCGTACAATGCGGCAGTAATAAAAGTTTAACGAGTCAATCTGGCTGCTCCATTGTCAATTCTAATTTAAAAATTTGTCACAGTTCCCATCAAACCCTTTTAACCCTTTAAACTGTAACGACGACAATAGTCGTTTTATAAGAAATGGTTTAATTCGGGAGTACGACAAAAGTCGTCTTCAAAAATTGTGGTCATGGCGCGGAAGGACGACAATTGTCGTTTCTAGGAGGTCATTGATTTTCACCAGTTTCTCTCCGCGACCTAAAATTTGTTGAAATTTTGAGGGATTTCTCCTATGCCAACACAATGCTAAATTTGAAGATTTTCTTCCCGAAAATTTGGATATTTCCCTATACAACTCAATGTTAAATTTTTGATTTTTCAGTTTTTCGAGTTTTATTAAAAACTCCTGAATTTCTCCTCCCGCACCATGACCACAACATAAATATATTGTGTCCCCGCACGATTGCTTGACATTTAGTATCTAGGTAACTCTTGTGTCTTTTAACGGTTGCGACAAATGGTGGAGTTACAAATAAAATAATTATTTTTTAAATCGTTGGTACACGTCCCATGGTCGTGTGTACCAACGACTTTGACCTTTAATAACTTTTGAATGGGCAGACATAGAGATTTAATTCGTTAAGATGAAATCATCGTAATTTTTAGCTTGATTTTTTAAGATCAAAATCTCGAGGGTACTATTTCGAAAATTAAATTTGAAATCCCAGTGTGCAGCGTTTGTTTAGCCCGAGTCAGGGTCAGTGTCAGCTTCTAAACTTTAGTCAGACGACCTGCACCAACTACTATTCGTAATCGGCAAAAATGTTCCCACAATCCAGCATGCAAAATTTCAGCTCCTTGACCAATTTTAAAACCAGTACGGGTCTCAGTCTTCTGGGCTGGGCCCACAAAAATATTCATATTCGATGAATATGAACATTATTCATATTCTTTAGTCTGATGTGCCCTTACCCATGATACCGAATTTTATTTTTATTCTACCAATATAAAAAGCAGCGTGGGTCACCTTGTTAAATCTCTGTGGAAAAAATCTTAATATTTAGTTCATATTTTTCAATCTGGTCTACCCCCACGGGGTCGTGCCAAATTTCAGTCTTCTACGAGTGTCTAATTTCATCTTTTTAATACAATTTTTGAAAATCGATATGGGTCACCCCCTTAAAGGTCCCTCCACATAAAAATGGTACCAATTTCAATTCATATTCTTTCATCAGGGGCCATTAGCAATCTCTGCACTAATTTCAGCTCGATGGATAATTTTCAAAAATCGGTATGGTATCGGGTCCCTCCAGTCGGAAATTTTCCCAATTTAAATTCATATTCTTCAATTAGACACCATTAGCAATCTCAATGCCAGTTTACAGCTTTCAACGAGGATTTTGAAATACTCCACCCACCCAGATGACCACCACAGGTCAACCACTTAATTGATTTCGCCCATCTTCAAACTTAACTCCTCATTTGTCACATACTACATGTATACCAAATTTAAAGTCGCTAGGCCGAGTTTAACGAAAGTTATCGTAAAATGATCGGACGGACAGACAGACGGACAGACAGACGGACATGACGGTTACAAAATTACATTTCCAAAACTGTAACCAATGGCATATTTTCAACAATTTTTAGTTTTCTAAAAATGAAAATTTATTTTGTAACTCGGCCATTTGTCGTAACCTTATAGATTGATAAAGTGTCAAATAATCTTGGTGTCCCCGATTTAATGCATTTTCTTGTCGTCAATCATACACGTTAAAGGGTTAAGGATTATCTTGTAAAGCCGATGCCTTGACTCTTGGATAAATTATTCATTAAAGAGGAGAAATGAGGGGAAAGTGCAATTCAACAACTCCAGCCAACCCACCACCACCAGTCCACAAAAGGAGAAGCAAAAGCGAGTGAAAACTGAAAACCCGTCCTCGCAACGTACGTACGTAACTTGTGACAGGCAGTAAAGGAGGAGACGAGAAAAAGAATTCTGTAGATTCTGTCAAGTGAAGAATGACACCAATGACACCAATTTCCCTCCGACTTATCTGCTAAACATGACCTTTCAGATTGTAGATTTGCCCAAGGGCTGCTCACACACCGTGACACACGCCATACATTTCCCATTCACGACCATGCATTTACTTTTCCCTAATTATTTTGCAAGCACTTTTTGCTAAAAATACTTCAACACTGTTCGGATTAATTCCATATGAAATGCATGAACATATTTTCTCTACTGTCTGTCGTATAAATACACGTACATGAATACGCTTGGAGAGAATGAAGTTGAGTTGGTCATTCGTGAATGCCTCGCCCCGCAGAGAGAAGAAAGAGTCTTATTTGAAGGCATCCAGGACATCAGAACGTCAGTTCCAGTTCTGCTGGGGCATTTTCTTGTAAAATGCCACATTTCAGATACTTCCAGCTTATTGGATTGTCAGAACATTTTCTTCCTGCTCCAGCATCCACAGAATTTCGAGTTTCACGGTTTTTCAGCTTCCATTTGGGTAATGGCTCCTCTACTCCCAGCTACTTACGAATACTGCCCACCCGTCCACCCCACTTGACTCGCAAGAATTCGGGTGAAAGCACTGGGTTTGTTTTTCCATCACGGAAGTATCGAATCGTCGCTCTCTCCGTATGGAAATTTTCTCCCCGTCTCACACGAAACATGATGTGAGTTGTTTTGATGTAACTGAGGTTGGTATTTATCTAAGTGTACCAGCCATTTCCGCCTCGCAGCTTTCAAGGTCCCTCAAAAAATGGGCTCGCCACGTTTTTTCCCTCACCCACCAGTTCTGCCCAGTTCTAACAATCATACTTACGCATGGCCTTGAAGCATATGTATGCAAATGGTGGCAATTGATTTTATTTCGCACATGCAGACTGCGAAATACATAAATGCAAATCTCCCCGAAACGTAAACATTTATTCATTTGAATTATTAATAAAGTTGTCATCAACACTTTAATCAGCTTATCTTGATGGGAGGAATGGTTTCAAAATACTAAATTATTAGCATACTTCGTTCGAAGCGTATGCCTAGAAACATTCATTTCCAGATTAAAGAGGAACAGCGTAGTCACAACCGTGTTCCTCGGAAAGTGAAAGCGTACATACACAAGTATGTCGTATTACGTCGTTACATATATTTGTGCATATGTTCAAGTGAAGTTTAAGCAGCCTCATATTTCTGAGGACACGTGCATCTGACTGAAATTGGAAATATGAAGCTAGAAACTTGCAGTTGGACAGTTTCCTAAACCGGACAAAATTACTTGTTTGCTTGGCTGTCCTTCGCATGGCCTTTGCTCGTGTCTTGGTGAACAGTAAATTCCATTCCAGCCGACGGAGGGGGTACATTTTCTCCTACGGGTTGAATGCCATCAGGTTTCAGCAGTTGTTGTTGCTGTTGGAATGAAATTGCAAATGGTAATGCAATGCAATAGTATTATTATTATTATTGTGTTATGCTTGTTCCTCGCTGGCCTTCGAACGTAATCTCCGTCTCTCAAAACTGCCATAAGAGCTATCTGCGAGAACCATGACTGCGCCGTTTACTTTTCCAAACGACAACCGTAGCCTCAATCTTTTCCCACTCAGGAAAATGACCGACTTAAGTTGTAAAGGATTTGGCAAAGCGGAGAACAACGTGTCCAACATGTATCATATTCTGGAGATTTTGCGATCCAGGAATAAATAAAAATTGGATATGCTCATATTTGCATTTTCCTCCACAAATCAACATTCAATTCACATCCGCGATGAAGATAACATTCACAATTTATTTTCTGTTTACTGACAACCAACCATGTTGCATCAGAGGCTGACTGGTTTGAAGCAGGGAGCAAATGTCCATCCCATTTTTTATGTTCAATGCTCCCCTGGCTGTTAAGACATTTAGACTTACGACTTACTTCACAAAATACATAAAATACCGTGTGTCAGCCCAGTACTATATTCTTCAAAAACGAAAGATTTATGAGCCTGTGTTTGAGTGTTTTCCAGCCACTTTTATTCACTCGCTTCAACTTTGGTTAGGTTCTAGGAGTGGTGTGTATGGTCATGCATATCTAGGCACTCGCTGCGATTCGTGGGTGGTAGTCGTTTTGCAAAATGGTTGTAGTCGGGATATATGTATGTAGAATAGTAGCTAAAGTAAATACGCCAGATAAAACTTTCAAAAGGTGAGTGTGAGAATTTTTAATGGCAAAATTACGAAAGCCTGGTGAAATTCTTCACTTGGTTGTTATTTTACCACATGGCTTTTTTTTGGTTCCCTGCATAGATTTTAATCAAATCCCGGTGAACTAATTGCTTCCCAAGCTGCATGCACCTATGAATCTGAGGAAATCGTGACCATATGAACCTATTTTGACTGAAGACCAAAATGGATCGGATAACATATTTAATTTGTACATGTGTGAATCGAGCATTATGAGATAGAAAACGAAGAGGAAGATGTGGATGCGTATCACAACAAGTTTTATAAATTTATTCATTTCGTGATTAGTTCGATGGGAATTAGATCCAAAATCAATCAATCCTTAGAATTTAGAGCGAGTGAATTTATCTTCTATTCACCTCCTACTTATTATGTTCGTTAATTAATTAATGTGCATGAAGTATTAAATTTTATGGTTCATAATTCGGCCAAATAAGTCCTTCCACATTTTCATGAGCTTCATAATCTGCATAAAACAAAACATTTCGGGACATGTCACAAAATCAAGGTCAAATTGAGACGTCCAACCATGAGTGACCACTCTATTTTTCATAACCCATGTCGGGCCTTGTTTTTGCAGCCAACTTTAGTAACGAATGGATGTGCAGAAACCTCGTAATTGTAGAACATACATATGTACACTGGGCACAGTGACAGACATTTATTTATTTATTTACGAACACGGCAAATTTAAGAGAGATGTATGTAGTTCGCCACATGGACTCTGAGCAAAGAAGGTGAAGGTACACAAACAAAGCGGAACATTGGCGACATTTGCTCTGTTCGACCAAGTGACTGACCACCCAGTTGGAGAGGAGAAAGTGTTGTCGGTGAAGCGGAAATGTTCATCCGTCTGTTGGTCAGTTGGACACTATTCCTTTTTCAGGTTAGTTTACTTTAATGAAAGTAGACAAGCGACAACATGCTACTCCTTCAAGGGAGAAGAAGGGCATTGGACCAAACCCTCGGCTGAGTGGACAAACCAGAACAAACGTTATTGAATCAGCCACACACCACGAACTGCATGACCATGCACCCTGAGCAGAAATAGAGCGGTGCCCATCATGCACGAATTTATATGGAAATCAAACATTGCCAAGGAGTACGTGTTGCATACGAGGCAGAATAAATATGAACACGAGGCACTACACATGTACTACATCACTCGTTATCAAATAAAACAAATACTACACGACTGCTTAGCCTCGTTTACATGTGCATTAAGAGCGAATAATAATGCTGCCTTCAATTTCACAGTCCGCTGACACACGATAATGACATCCTCTATTAAATTTCAATTAAATTCCTTGCTCTGGTGGATTGCATGGGGTGGAAGGAGTGTCGTCTTGGGAGGACGCACTCATCCTCATCCATTCTTTCCGGTTCATTGCTAAAAATGAAGGCAGAGTTTTTTGAGAGTCTGAAACGAGGTCAAATTCCAAGATAATTTAAAATACAGCCCAGACTCCACTGCGATCCGAGTGTAATACCCATTTTCGTATTCTAACTGCATGGGAAACATTGCACCTGGGAAAGTTGGAGGTTTTTCGATACAAAACTTTGGCAGTTTGAATACAATCCAAATTTATTTTATTCTCAAAGTATCGTCAGCACATTTCACTTCAACACGAGTAAAAAGTGAGTCTTTCTCTGACTGACTGGACTCTTTGTTCCTTCGGAGAAAGTCCTCGTCGCAGCCACACCGCATTTATCAACACCACCAGCCGCTGCCGAGGAGG